AATAAATCCAAAGGCAAAGAGCTAAATAAATGAGGTAAAATTCTACAGAAATCTCTAGAGGTAGTATAATCAAATGGAGGGTAGAATCAGTGATATTGAAGATAATAATGCAATAAGGTAGAAGAAAACATAGAAATGAAATATAAATAAAATGAAAGGGAATTTAAGAAATATCGACACCATTAAGAAAGTCAACCTGGGTATCCCAGGAGAAAAGAGAGAAAGGAACAAAGAGCCTATTCAAAGAAATAATAGAGGAAAGCTTCCCACACCTGGGAAAGGATTTGGATATAACAGTCCATGAAGCTAAAAGACCACCTTATTACCTAAATGCAATAAGATCTAAACCAAAAGAAGTAATAGCAAAACTAGCAATTTTGCAAGTTGGAAAAAAGCTCAACTATAATTACTTGCAGATGTCATGATAATATATATAGAAAACCCTAAAGATGCTACTAAAGAATTATTAGAAACAATAAATCAGTGTAGTAAATTGGCAGGTTACAAAATCAATGAACAAGGCTGTTATGTTACTATATGCAAATAATGAATTAGGAAAGAAAAAAACAAGAAAACAAACCCATTTAGAGAAGCCTCAAAAATTATTAAAAGCGATAAATCTAAAGAAGAAAGTGACAGACCTATTCAATGAAAACTATTAGACCTTGTTAAAAGAAATGAAGAAACAAGTAAATGTGAAGATAGTCCATGCTAATGAATTGTAAGAATTAACTTTGTTAAAAGTGTCCATCTTTCCCAAAGCAATATATAGATTGAATGCAATCCCTATCATGTTTAAAATGAAGTTCTAGAGAAAGAGAGCAAATGTTACTTAAATTCATATTGAACCACATAGGACCCCAAACTTCAAACTGTACTTCAAGGATCCAGTAGTCAAAACAGTGTGTTATTTGGCATAGGCACAGAACAATGGAATAGAATTGAGAGCTAAGAAACAAACCCATGTTTATATAGACAGTTAATGTATCACAAAGGAGCCAAGAGTATACAATGGAGAAAGTAAAATCTCTTCAAAAAATGGTGCTGGGACAACTGGACAGCCACATGTATAAGAATGAAACTAGACCACTTTCTTATTCCATCCACAAAAGTTAATTCAATATGCATTAAAAACTTGGATCCAAGTTAGGGAATTTAAATACATAGAAGAAAATACAGCCAGATATGTCTTTGAGGACTCAATTTAATGGCAAGGAAAGAAAAAACAAAATAAACAAATGGGACTACATGATAACAAAAAGCTTCTGAACATGGAAAGACTGTCATTAAAACAAAAAAAAACCCATAAAAACCCTATTTATGGGAGAGAGTATTTGCATATCATACAACTAACAAGAAACTAATATCCAAAATCATTAAAGAACTCATATTAGTGCTGGGTTGCAGAGCTGCCCGCAGCCTCTGCAGCACCGGTTCCATCCCCAGCTGCCAGGCGAGGGTCCCACAGGGCATGCAGACTTCTGTCTCCCACTGCTCCCCTCAGCCTGCCTGCTCTGTTCTCTGCTCTGACTCTGGTGAATTCTCTCACCCTCCCACACTTCTGACTGTACCCAGTGCTTGTATAAATAAATAAATAAATAAATAAATTTTTAAGGTCTCAGATTGCTCACCATGTTTGAACCCATTCAAACTTGGACACAGAGCTTATTGTTCTCCAGAGAAGACATAAAGATTACCAACTGGCATATGAAAAAATGTTCAACTTTACATATCATCAGGGAAATGCAAATCAAAACCACAATGACATACTACCTCACTCCAGTGAGAATGTCACATGTAACAAAACAAAACCATAAACAAAAATGTTGGTGAGGTTGTGGAAAATAAGGGAGTTTGTACAATGTTTGTGGGAATGTAGACTGGTCCATTCACTATGGAAAAGAGAATAATGGTTTCTCAAAATATTAAATATAAATATACCATATAATCCAGTAATTCCATTCCTAGCTATCTACCCAAAGAATACAAAATATCCAATTCAAGGGGATATATGAACTGCTGTGTTCTTTGCTGCACTGTTTACAATATTCTAATTATGGAAACAGCCAAAGTGTTCAAAGACAGAGCAGTGGATTAAGAACATGGTTACAATTGTCTTTTTTGCTTTGTTGTGTTTTGTACTGTTACTGTTTTTTTACACTGATGTCTTTTTTGGTCCCCCTGTATTCCTCCTATAAGTGACTGAGGGAGTGGGGAGAAGGAAATATTGTTTAAAAATGAACAGGATGAAAAAAATATATAAGAACATGTGGTATATACATATACATAATGGACTATTAAACAGCTCTAAAAAAGGATGAACTTGCCATTTGCAACAGCATAGGTGGAGCTGGAGTAGATTATGCTAAGGTAAACATGTCAGGAGGAGAAAACAAGTACTGGTGACTTCTCATATGCATGGAATGTAGAGAAACAAATGAAAAACAAACATAGTGTGTCATACATACTCAATCAAACAAACTAAATCAAACACATTCTAGAAATGTTACTTCAGTGTTGAACCTACTAGAAGGGGAGAAAGGGTATGGGTAGGAACAAAGAGGAGAGGGTGCCCAGCTATCTAAGGTAAATGGCTATGGGTGCTTTGATGGTGGGTTTGTTATGGTGACTTACATCTGAAGAGGTATAAACCTAACCTACTGAATCATATACAGTATTGTAAACCAGTGTTGCCTCAGTTAAAGAAAAAAAGATGCTGTATATCAATTATTATTAGGGAAACAATGAGATTTTACCTCACATTTGTTACAAATGACTATTATAAAAATTTTAAGAAATAGTAATTGTTGCTGAGGACATGGAGAAAAAAGAACCCTTGTACAATGTGATGGAAATAGAGATTGGTTAAGCCACTATAGAAAACTATGTGGATGTTCCTCAAAAATTTAAAATAGAACTACCATATGATCCAGTAATTCCACTTCTAGATATTTATCTGATAAATATGAAAACATTAATTCAAAAAGATTTTTTCACCCCTGTGTTTATTACAACATTATTCACAATTGTCAAGATATGGAAACAAAATCAAGTCCCCAATTATGGATGGATGGATAAAGAAGTTGTGGTATACAATGGAATACTTCTCAGCAATACCAAAGATGAAACATTGCCACTTACAATAACATGGATCTACTAATCAGGGCATTATACTGAATGAAATAATAAATCAAAAGGAGAAAGACAATTACTGTATGATATAACTCATTTGTAGACTATAAAGGGAAGAAAAGCAATTGTAACTAGCAAACTAAAACTAAACAAACCCTTAGACTCAAACAACAGAATAGACTCGTACAGGCAGGGAAAGAAGGCAGTGGGAAGGATTAGGGGGAACAATTAGATAGTGGTGGATTATAACTGGATATTTGGTATTGGGGTGTGGTGTGATAGTTGCTGAGATGAAAAATGGTATCCCTGAAACCTGTATAGTGTTGTAAACTGTTACCACAATTAAAAAATTATAATGTTCGGCCTCCCCGGTGGCGCAGCAGTTGAGAGCTGGGTTGCAAAGCTGCCCGCAGCCTCTGCAGTGCTGGTTCGATCCCCGGCTGCTCCCCGGCCACTGGAGGAGGGTCCCACATGGCGCGCAGACCTCTCCTGCCGCCCGCTGCTCCCCTCAGCAGTGTACTTCGGTCCTTCTGCCTGCTCTGCTCCCCACTCTGTCTCTGGTGAATTCACTCACCCTCCCGCGCTTCTGACTGTACCCAGTGCTTATATAAATAAATAAACAATTTTTTTAAAAAATTATAATTTTAATATTCAAAATTTAAATATTTAAGTATACTTAAAATGTTAAGTAAAATAAAATAAATGAAACAGTGACATCAAGTAAAATATTAAAAAATATGTAAAATATTTTAATAACTGAAAATCTATTCATAAGATAAAATATACATATCTTGAACTATTATTTAAGAATTGCATTGATCTTGGAACTCCAAAGCTCAGTTTCTCACAGATGCTTCCTTCAATTACTTCTTGCTCAACAATAACATTTAAACTTTTTTATAATATAACGTTTGCTTACTGTCAGTGTGTCTATATAAAAATACTTATGCATACAAAAATAGGTATCAACCTTATAAATCTGCTCTGTAATACTTAGTTTTATATTATAATAATATAAAAATGAGTTAGCTTCATATCAAAATAAAACATTTTAAGTCAAACTATTTACTACTCATAGACTAAAGTTAGGAAATTAATAATACATTGCTAGCAATCGGTTCATCACAGTGACACTGGCATTTGGGTCAGCACCTGCTTTTGGTACCTTTCAGAGATTGACAACTACTACAGTGGCTGTGGCAGTCCTTCATCTGCCTTGTTTCTGTTGCCTCTCTTCTATTCTCTTCCTTGCATGCTCTTCATCAAGTGGCCTATGGCTGTGAGGAGCAACACTAACAGTCACCTCAGAGAATCTTTGCTTTATCAGTAAACATTAAAGGATATCTTTTCTATCCAATAAACTTTAGAGCTTATGGAGTAAAGGGAACTAGTGGGATGAAACTTATATACAAGTTTACCCCACTATCCAAAAGTAGAGTATTCCTATTTGGTATCATTTGGTAGATTATTTGGGGGGAATCGGGAATGTTATTAGTATTAACTTACATAGAAAATTAATTTGAGTATTCCCAGTCCCAGAGTTACCTCCTAGATCATACTACAGAGGAATGATTGAACTTTGACAAGCACGAGAGACTTGTCCTTGTAATTTCTTCTCTTATTCTCTTTCCATTAGTTTCCCCTTTATTTTATTTTTCAGTATTCCTTAAACCTCAACTTCCCATAAGGTTTGTATGTTGAAGGATTGGTATCAAGCACATTTCTATTCTTATTTCCACTTAACACTCTGAATAAAGTTAACAGAGTACTTTGATTAACTTGAAATTTGTCAGACATTTTCCTTGTATTTTGCAAATGTTTATGTGACTGTTTTATAACTCAAGCAATATATGTATTTGTATTTTCAGGGAAATTTTGGTGAAGTATATAAGGGAATATTAAAGGATAAAATTCCTGTTGCTGTTAAAACATGTAAAGAAGATCTTCCTCAGGAACTGAAAATAAAATTTTTGCAAGAAGCCAAGTGAGTTTTTTTTTTAATATACAATGTGTATCTATAATATGTGATTCATTAAAATTGAAGTTTGATGATTATTTTAAATTGTGATTTGCATTTTCAGAATCTTCAAGTAAACATTTTAGACAATGTGGAAACTGCTTTGTTTTTTTTTTTTAAGATTTATTTATTTAATCAAGACCTGAGTTACAGGACAGAGGTGCGGGAGGGTGAGAGGATTCACCAGAGACAGAGCAAGGAGCAGAACAGGCAGACGGACCGAAGGCACCGCTAAGGGGAGCAGCGGGAAAGACAGGAGAGGTCTGTCATGCCATGTGGGACCCTTCCTGTGCCATGCCATGTGGGACTCTTGCTGGCTGGCTGGGAATTGAACCGGAGCTGCAAAGGCTGCGTACAGCTTCACAGCGCGGTGCTCTACCAGCTGCACCACCAGGGAGGCCCCAGGAAAATGTTTTTGAATTAGATTATAGATCATATTGGCAATCAAAGAAGAATCAGATGCTAAAAAGCAGTTAGCAGGCATGTTTAAGTCCTTTAAAAACATTGCAATAATTTTTGCTTTTGTCACAATGCACATGCATCCATATCTTTAAATAAAATGTTGAAATTGTATTTATACAAAAAGTATTACCTTGTTCTGTATATAAATCATGTCATTTATACACATATATATCTAGATATACTATCCATCCTAGATATTATTACTTGATTCTCATTTCCCAGTATTTAGCTTTAATTCTGAGAAACCTCAAATTTCTCAACTCGGTATCTAGCATTTGTCCAAAATTTGCATTATATTTCTTTACTAATTGATCTTCCGGGATGATTGTCTTAACTTTTTTTCTATCAGCCAAAATGTAATGTTCCAACCAGTTAAAACTATTTTGTTAGTGGTAAAATTGAATATAAACAATAAAACACAAAACAATTGAAACAGTTCTGGGACAGAGTGAAAATGGGCACAGGCATGGGAGATGGCTGACTGACTCTAGCTGAATGGAAAAAGAGAGGAGGATTCTGGATCCATAGATTTGTGGTATAAATGGGATACAGGAAAGGGGAGCGTGTGTGTGTGTGTGTGTGTGTGTGTTTGTGTGTGTGTGTGTGTGTGTTTTCAGTCATTACTTAATGTATAAAACAGAAGTTTCTGTAAAGTTCAAAGGAAGAAAAAGGGTATTGCAATGAGAGAACTAATTCCTTCACAGCAACATTTTCATTCTTCATCTAAAAATGTATATTGATAACAGTGGATTAACTAATCGGATGCATTTAGTAAATATTATCTATATGATAAAGTTGTAAACTTTTTCATGTGTATTATTGGCAATTCAGTCAAAATATTTTATCATGTATGTAAAGGCATGCTTCACAATTGAAATTCATAAACTCATTATTTATAGTAATTAATGGTATCCTTAAAGTATAAATCTGTATCAAACATTCTTTTCAAAAATATTTAATGTTGGGCCTCCCCGGTGGCACAGTGGTTGAGCGCTGGATTGCAAAGCTGCCCGCAGCTTCTGCAGCGCCGGTTCAATCCCCGGTTGCTCCCCGGCCACTGGAGGAGGGTCCCACATGGTGCGCAGACCTCTCCTGCCGCCCGCTGCTCCCCTCAGCAGTGTACTTAGGAACTTCTGCCTGCTCTGCTCCCCGCTCTGGCTCTGGTGAATTCTCTCACCCTCCCGCGCTTCTGACTGTACCCAGTGCTTGTATAAATAAATTTAAAAAAAAAATCTTTAAAAAAATATATATGTAATGTTATTTTCTAATTTGTGATTGTTTTATTGCTAAATAGGTTTTAATTTACTACTATAAGAAAGTTGTATTGAAATGAAATTTATAAAGATGTATACTACTAAGTGGTGTTTAATAGACTATATAGATATATATTTAGATATTCAATATTATTTGAGTTCATGCTGGCTGTTTTGTGAAATTCATTGAATAGTTTCCATCTGAAGAAACTGATAATTTGTGATTAAAATGAAACTTTCTAAAACCATTTAATTCCTTCCAGAACTTGCAAGCTCAAAGTTATTGACTATTTCTTCTATCTCTAGAATTCTTCTCAGTCTTATCTTTTCATTTATAAATCATTATATATTTTCAATCTAAAGCATTCTTCCTAATGCTATCTCTGCTTTAGTTTTACATGTACAAAATTTATATAAATTTGTTTAATCTTCAAATCAAAATTTTTTATTCTATTAGAAAAGGAAACTGCATTGTTAAAATCTGAACGAATTCTTATCAATAGAATAATGTGATATAAAATTTGATCTAGAAATCCTCAGGGTAGATGGGTATCTGAGGGAATCTGATCTACTTTTAACTCTTGTTTAGAGTAGTATGCATAATTCTATACTATTTTTAGAATTCTCCAATGATGTTGCTCTTATCTGAAACCAAATATTTTCTGCTTCAGCTTAAATCTGTATTGGAAATCTGTTATTCAATTACTGTTTAACAGGTTTCTAAAAATTTTTTGAAGTTGGTCATTTTGCTATAGAATTACCGAATCTAATAAAATAATTACCCTATAGCATTTACCAAAAGTAATTACATTCTCATTTTTATGTTTTTTTTAAGTCAGGTGTGTGAAAAAACAAATATATGATACTCCAGATTTTGCAGGTTTTGGCCCACTAGTACTATTTAGCTATACTTTTCGTGGTGGTGGCTAAATCCAGATACTTTGAAGGGAGTTTTACATGTCTTGCACTAAATAAGTTAATTTTATTAGCATGGCTATTAGTCATTCATAGTGGATAATAACTTTTAAATGAAATATAATTGAATTGAGGAAAATTGGCTCATTTCGTGACTATATTGTGTCAACAATATTTATCAAAACATATATATCACATTTATAGTAATGGATTCATATTGAAGTTTTTAAAATAAATTATATTTATCAAAGCATATTTTACTTGTATATACTATACATGATCATAAACCAGTGATTCATTATTTAAATAACTATTCATATAATTTTCTTTCATGCAGAATTCTCAAGCAATATGATCATCCTAATATTGTCAAGCTTATAGGAGTTTGCACACAAAGACAGCCAATTTACATCATTATGGAGCTGGTTCCAGGTAATATAATTTTAGAGGTTTTTCTTATTGACATTTTAATGTCATGCTTTATTTGTATGTGAAGTGTTTTTATTGCTGCTTGTAAAGTTTGCAAAGATTTATCATTTTTGATGACAAAGAGCCTATATACATATTCAGTAATTTCATACTCTATAATACTTTGCTGTTTTCTAGAAAATGTCAGCCAACCTTTTATTCAAAGAGGAGATATATTATTATAGTACATTTATACGTGAAATTTAGTTATATAATGTGTAATTGAAAAAAAATGTCTAGAGAAGTAGCTTACTTAATTGGACTTTGTAACAATGATTATACTAAAATTTAGTTCATTGTATATCATTTTTATATCTGTTACCACACACCTCCATTTGGTTGTATGTAAATAATCCTCATAGTGTTTTGGGTCACCTATGAACTATAAACTTCTTTCATATGTGGACAAAGGAAAAATAATCTGTCTAGGAATTTGTCTTGTATTTCTTACTGGTAACTTCAAACACCTCCGGATGTTCAGATTTACAACTTTTGCCAACCAAAAATGATAACCTTGAACTGAGAGTTTTAAGTACATCTTTCTTTTGTAAAAAATATAATCAGAGGAAAACATTGATCTTTATAAAGTTTACAAATACAATATTTAACAACTGAAAGGAATTTGCTTTGTTACCTTTAACAAGTATTTGCTCATTTTTATCTATCTATCTATCTATCTATCTATCTATCTATCTATCTATCTATCTATCTATCTGTCTGTCTATATCTCTGTCTATCTATTCATCCATCCATCCCTCCATCCCTGAGTTCAGGTCACCGAGGTAATTCTTAGGGTGTTCTATACTAGTCTCAGTTCAGTTCAATTCAGTAATCATTTACTGACAAACAGTAAACATTTTACTGTTAACAAACATTTACTGGCTAAACAGCATTAATATTGACTAAAGTAAATGAATTGACAATTTAAAAATATAAACTAGCTGTGTTTTCACTAAGATTACTCACTATAAAATGTACTCATTTTAAAAGAAATTTCAAGGAATATGACAAATATTTGTAACTTGAATTAAAATACATGAAGTGAACCTGATATTGTGGATTAGTTATCAAAGACTGTCCACATAATTCTTCCATTATCTAAAGATAGTTGGTCCCAATTTAATGCACCAGTTTCTTTCCATTGGAATATTCCTTGATATTATCATGTTAATTGCAGGCTTCCTAGATCATCCTCTTCATCCTCATCAAGATGATATTATCTATTTAGGTGCATTGTATGTTTTCATAGTTTATACTGCTTATGATCTTTATCTTGAAATTGTTTTCAATATAGTTATTTAAAAAATGAGAAAGTATAATGTAAAACTTTAAAACCAAATTAATAGCTAATAATTTTATTTGAAATAGGATGTTTAAATATTTTGAATGCATATAAACATTCACATAGGTAAAAATAATATTCCAGATTATCAAGGAATATCCCTGAGAAACTTAGATTTAAAGAATGGGCAGACTTGATGAGGAAATGATTTTGGTTAAACCATATATAATTAAAGGAGCATATTTGAATAACCAAATCCAAGTGGAACATATAAGTTGAAAAAACAAAGGAAGATAGCTTTATAGGAGAGCCACAGAAGTGCTTATTTAGATACAGACTAGTAACTTCTACTTATATTTTTTAAATTAATAAGGATAATAAACTTCATTAGAAAATTTCAAATGTAACAAAAGCTATGAAAGTAAAAATTGACCACTAATAATCTAATCCCAGCCCAAGACGAATTGCTATTTTGTTCATGCTTCTTTCCAGGAAAATGCTTAAGCATGTTTGATTTCATGCAAATAGTTTAAATTTAAATAACATATTATAAAACTTGCAGATAATTTTTCTATTGTTAATTAAAGTAGCTTATAATTTGATTATCCATATTCATCCATGTCATTCTACGTTTTCTTTGTAATGACTGCAGGGTATTTCACTTTACTGATTTATACAAATGCATCTAAACAATTACTATTTATGGATACTTCTGTTTATATTTTTATTATTTGGGGATTTTTTTTTACAAACAATGTTCAATAAATATCTTTGTACATATATTAAAAGAATCATTTCTAAGTATATCTGTAGCACACATTTTATCTGTGAGATTGTTGTATGTGAGTTTATATGCGTTTTGATTTTTGGTGACTATATTAGGATTTTATTGAAGCATAACAAATTACATAGCCTGACAGCCTGAAGCAGCATCATTTATTACCTCATAGTTTTGTCAGCTTGAAGTTGAAGCAGACTTGACTGGATTCTCTGCTTAGCAACTCAGAAAGCCAGAAATCAGAATTTAAAGCTGAGCTGTGATCTGGAAGTAATAGGAAAAAATCTGATACAAAGCTCCTTCAGATTGGTGGAAGAATGTCCTTCTTCACAGCTAACAAATTGGTCTAAATTTCCTTTTCTTTGCTTGCTACAGCCAGAGGGAATCTCTCAGTTTCTTAAGGTTTCCCTTGGAAGTCCTAGCTTATAAAATAAGAAAAGGAAGAAATAAAACTGTATTTGTAGAAGACAGTTTGGTGTCTTCTCACAAAATTGAGCATACTCTTACCATGAAGTGTATCAGTCATACCCTGGATATTTATCTAACAAAGTTAGAAACTCTGTCCAGCTACCCACAGACAGATATATATAGTAGCATCATTCATAATGCCAAAACTTGGAAGCAACTAAGGAGTCCTACAGTAGGTGAGTAGGAAGCAAACTGTGGTACATTCAAACAATACAATATCATTTAACTCAACAAAGAAATCAAGTCCTGAAACAAATTGAATCCTAAAAAGTCATAAAGAAAACTTGCATGTATATTACCAAGTGAAAAAGTCAGTCTGAAAAGCTACATACTGTATTATGCCAAGTTAGAATGCTAGAAAAGGGAGAAGCAAAATATGGAAACAGATACAAGTTTAGTAGTTTCCGGGGATCGTAGAGCAGGATGGAATGAATAGTTTGAAAACAGAGAATTTTTTGTATAATGAAGCTACTATGTATAATAATTACATGTTTTTGGCAAACCTATGGAATGTATAACAGCAAGAGTGAATCCTAATATAAATTAGAGGTGTAGGATGGTTATGATCAATGTAGATTTATTAGTTGTGATAAATGTACCATTCTGACGTGGATGCTGATAATTATTGCATGGGAGGTTTTTCTATGTAGAGCAAAGGTTATATGGAAAAACTCTTTACCTCATCTCAATTTTCTGCCAAAACTCAAAGAATTTTTACATAGTTTTTAAAGCAGAAGAAATGTGAATAATTGGTTTTCTTTGAAAATATGTAGGAACGCTGTCTCACTCATTTCTTCATTTGCTTAGCTTCTGTCTCCCTCCCTCCATTCTTCCCATTCCAATATTCTGTGACGTGTGCATAGTTTCTGAAAGACTATAGAGTATAGGGCGGAAATTTCGAGTTCTATATGAGTGTTAGTGTTATATGGAAAAACCAGAACCCTCATACACTGGTGAGGAAATGAAAAATGATAGACTACTTTGGAAAAATTGCACAATTTCTCAAAAAATTGCACATGAATTTTCCATATGAAGTAGCTTTGATTCTAGGTATATACCCAAGAGAATTAAAAAATTTATAGCTATACAAAGCCTATTGGCAAATGTTTGTAGCAACATAATTTATAATCACCAAGTTAGAAAAAAACTCAAATGTCTGCTAACTGAAGAATGGATAAACAATGTAGTATATCCATACAATAGGAACTATTAAGTGATAAAGACAAATTAGCTACAAGTCCGTGCTACAATATGTAGATTATCCTCAAAATATGTATGCTGATTAAGGAAAGTTTGATATAAAAGACTACGTGTTATATGATTCCACTTCTATGAAATACTCAGAAAAGACATCTATAGGTAAGCAGACTCATGGTTTCACATACAGATTCAAGATGGACTCCCTAGAGTCATGAAAAACCTTTCTGGATTAATGAAAATGTTCTACTCAGGATTGTGGTAATGGTTGTACCTTTGTAAATTTGTTAGACCTCATTTTACAGTAAGATGGGTAAATGTGATATACATAATCCATACTTCATTATTGCTTTAAACAAAAGAAGACAAAACAAAAGCCCAAGAACCAGGGCATCTTAGCCAAAAACTTGGTTTAGCAAAAGTAAGTTATGAGATTTCACTCAACCTACCTAACCCTTTGTACCTTAGTTTCTTCCCCATAATGTAAGAATAATAAAGTTGTAAGGACTAATGTGATGTACTGTGATGTATACCAGGCACACATACACACACACGGCTTTGAGTGTTTGACATGTAATCACCACTTTTAGCTAATTAAAAAATATTTTCTTTTAGCTAATTATAAAATATTAATGATGGTGATGAAAAAAATAAAGTGACTAATTGATATGACTGTTAAATCCACCTAGAACTTTTATGCAAACGCTGAACCTATTTCTGTCTTTAACTCTAATTCTAAATCTAGACTTCTCTTGCCTACAATGACTTGAGAATTGGGAAGTGTAAAATTTACCATTAGTTCTCCCTTGTTCTGTGATTGTTTTGTTTGTATGTTTTAATATTTAATCTTTTTTTTAAAGATTGATTTATTTATGCATACAAGAACTGGGGTACAGGCCAGAGGTGTGGGGGATGAGAGGACTCACCAGAGACAGAGTGGGGAACAGAACAGGTGGAATTCACTGAAATGTACTGCTGAAGGTTGCAGCAGGCAAGTCAGGAGAGGTCTGCTGTGCCATGTGGGTTGCTCCCTGGTCAGGGATCGAACTCTTGCATCAGAGGCTGCGGATAGCTTCATAGGTTGTGTCTTAACCCCTTGTGCCACCATATTTGAGTCCCTTTATATTTAATCTTAGTGTGTCTTTCTTTCCTTATACGTAAAACTAACAAAGCTGGGTTAAATGACTTCTAAATTTTATCTCTAACCTATAATTTTTTAGTTGTTATGAAAACTGTTCA